CGTCTTCATACTTTTCTACTGGATGTTAAGACCAAGGTAAAGCAGGACCTATGCAACAAGAGTTGTAGCTTTTTGGTCTGAGAAGGCCAGTGAAATGCCCTCAGGATTTATCCTGAGATCCTGTACCTCAGATTGTAGAACCCTTGTCAGTGCAGCCATGTGGAAGAGTCACGGTGGTAAGACAGTTTCAATAATTAATACACTGCGTATTGTTGTCATCTAAAGTTTACTCTTTTTTTTTTTTTTTTTTTTTTGGTGCAACCAGGGATTGAACTCAGGCCCTTGCGCTTGCCAGGCAAGTGCTTATTCTACTGAGCCATCTCCCCAGCCTTCTTGTAAATATTTAAGAATGAAATATATTTTAAAAAAATGAAAGTCATACATTTCTTTAAAACCATGGTGAATTTGTAAGAAAATCATCAAGTTAAAATATTTAGTAACTATTTGAGGGGAAAAATTTTTTTGGAAAAAAATCCAGCTGAATGTGGTGACACACCAGCCCACCACTCTGAGAGGCTAAGACAGGAAGATCTCAAGTTGAACTTAATCTCATTTTAGTGACATAGTAAGATATTGTGTCAAAAAAATTTTTTTAAAGAAGAGATGGGGAAAAAAAAAAAGAAGAGATGGGATGTAGTTTACTTACTGTTAAGGGCCTAGGTTCAATCCCTAGTACCACAAAGAGTAAAGGAAATATCCACACCTACCGAACAAATGAGTATCCTTTATCTGGAAAGACTCGAATTTCCATTATTTGTCCAAATGGCGAAAAAGTCTGACGCATTAGCTGTTCTGTTAGAAAAATAAACAAAAACAGAAGAAACTAGAATAAGTTATAATCCTACAAATACTAAGTTTCTGGGTTTAGAACTTAATTTCAATATGCCACTAGTAAAGTTCCCATACCTGTTAGCCCAGAAGTAACACCTCCACAGTACACAGTACAGTTGCTTGGACTAGACTGACTCACAACTTCATCATATGACAATTGTTTAGTGTTTGCTGGGAAGGAAAAAGTTTTATATTTTTAATTCCTTAGATAAAAAGCTCAGAAGGAGAAAAAAATGTAGTAGTGTAATGGCAATAATTACCTTGATCAAAATAGTTACAAAATATTTATTACATTCAAGTTTAGTATTAAACATTCCCCAAGAATGTCTAAAACATTACCCAGTATTCTCTATTTAATAGGAGACTTAACATTAAAGATAAAATAATTATTTAAAATTACAAAAATGAAAACTAAGTACATTTTTGAATAGTAGTCTTGATTTGCTTCTCATCTATTTCTGCAATAAGTCTCCGGGAACAGGTCTAACATTTAAAATCTAGTGTATCTTTCTCCAAAATTCCACATTTCCTTTTCTTCTCCAATACACCTACACTCATATGTACTCTTTGGAGCTGGAGGCTTTCGGGTTGCCCAGTTAGTTCTGATTTGTCTTCCACCAAGCCACTGGCCACCCATCTGTTGAATGGCGTTTTCAGCATCCTGTTCCGCATATTAGAAAACGACAAAGAATCCACGATTAGTTGATATTCAATAACTTTTAACAGTACAGAAAACTTGGTGCTGTTTATATATGTTATTAAAATGAAATTACTTTACAAAATACACAATATATGACAACTTTCCAAAAATGCAATGGTGCTTCTAAATTGTCTTTGCTTGGAAACAGCCCAAGTTAATTATCTTGTGTGTGTGGGCGTGGTCTCATATGTAGTTCAGACTGGCCTTGAATTCACTGTGTACCGAGACTAGCCTCTACCTCACAGCAGTCCTTCTGCTTCAGCCTCCAGAGGGCTGGGATTACAGGCATGTGCCGCGATGCTCACCACAAGATGTACTGTTGCTCTGAGAACAGCTGAGTTATAATTGCAGTAAATTTTATGCTCTTGCCAAGACTTGCTAGCTCCATATAGATTTTTAGAGCAAATTTCTGACTTGGATTTTACATTTTAGGTAAATGACTGCAAGCAGTTACCATGAGTAATTAGTAAAAGTTCATGGTCAGGAATCAACACACATTAGGTCACTATAAGTAGTCACAGGAACTAGAAAAAACGTGACATTCTGAGCCATTGGCAGAGCTGCACATCTATTTTAACTCAGAGGTACATACATATTCCATCACATCATAGCATACTAACAAATGATGTTGACAAATTTAATTGGGAGTCACCACAAAATAATATAATACTGTTTTCAAAATATTCAATTTACTAAAGTAAGAAAAACTTGTATGACAGTAAAAGTTCTAAGTTCATTCTAAGGTATTCTAACAAAGAGTACAGTCTCTTTGTACTAACCATACACAATCACTAGTCATAGTAGTGAGTAATAAAACTGAAGGATAAAATCTTGAAGTATACTGCAAAATTTGGTTTATTTGCTTGTTTTTCTTGATATAGGTTCTCACTATGTAGGGTAGACTGGCCTTGAACTCACTTATGCAGCTTAGGCTGGCCTCAAATTCATGGTGATGCTCTTGGCTCAGCCTCCTGAGTGCTGGGATTACAGGTGTGCTCCACGATACTCAGCTACAAATTTGTGCACATAAATTGTCCAACCATACAGTGCTGCACTTTTGCAAATGTGATTTTGATGCATCTTATTGCTTTCAATATTCAGTTATGGGGCCAGGTGTGGTGGCACATGCCTGTAATCCCAGTGCTGGGGAGACTGAAAGCAGGAGGATCACTACGAGTCTAAGCTGTGTAGTGAGACCCTGTACAAAAAAAAAAAAAAACACATGACACAAAAACACAGCCCCTTATTTTACACTTAATAATGTACAGAGAATTCTATGATCAGTACCACAATATTCTTCCTTTGCTTTGCAAAATCCAGAAATTTAAAGTCTATTTAAGGGCTGGTGAGATGGCTCAGTGGTCTAAAGCACCTACTTAGAACAAGTTTAGCAAAGCAAAGGGACCGCGGTTCAATCCCCAGCACC